TTTTTCACTATTTTATAGAAAACACAGTATATTAACTGAGAAAATGAGTGGATTAAACAGTTAACTTGCTGAACACTGCAGCAACATCTTTTTTTTATATCAATAGCAGTTAGTATTGTATGACTTTAATTGCTTGTGATATGTATATAACCATGTTAAAGTTCATCCAACCCTCAGGTTGTGACAGGTTGTGGTCAGTGAATGTATATTAATAACAAGCAGTGTGTTACTGATTGCACTTTATACTAGTGCATAGATAATTTATACTGTACCTTTTTTTTCCATTAAATGTAATTAGCTTGTGGAGAAGATTCTGACATAAGGTTTTCAGAATTTGTTGCCAAAGATTGTCTTTTGTAGGAAGACATACAGCTGCTAAGGGCATTACATAGATATTAGTCACTCGTACTGTTGTGATGAAATAAAGCAACAGATGCACCACTAATAATGGAGATGAGGAATGTTTTCCTCATGGGAATAATACCTTTTATTTGATCATCCCTGCCACAGCTACCGGTGAGAAAATGCAATGTGACTATGTCCAGAGTAGGGATAGGCAATGATGTTTGAATATTCCAATAGTCGTTAAACCTAAAGAAATTGAATATTTCATGCAACTATGGTTTTGTTCTAAAAACGGAGCAATGTTTTCCCTTGCTTTTACCAGCATCTTGAAATAATGAGGTCAGTTTATTATTTTACTACAGCACCAAATACAGACTGTAGAAACATGCAGAGAATACAGACATCAAAAAGTTTTGTGTGGAACTTCTTTGAGTTAGCATATCATAAATAGACAACTATGCACAGCCACTTGAAGGCGAGGCATCCAGCAGAAAGTGGGGTGCCCTCTGCAGATCAACAGTGACTAGCTTTGTCACCCGAAGAAGGAAGTTTGATGATCAACGTGCAGAGCAAATAACAGCCCTCATCACAAAGATGATAGACATGCTACCCATTAGCTTCATCAAGGGGAGGATTTTTGAAGTTTGATGGCATTTGTTCAGCTGGAGTATACAGTCCTATCAAGAAAATGGTCACAACACGACTGGATAAACTATATGATGATAATGCATGTGAGCTGCACAGTTGTTTGGCAAGTGTTGAAAAGGTGTTTCTGACCACAGATGCATGTTGAATAGTTCCCAGCGACTATTGAATAGCATTTTAGCTTGAAATGCCCATCTGTAATCTAGAGTGAAGGCTCATCAGATGCCAACACTATGAAATTGGGAAACATGAGTGCAAAAATGATTTGCTGCTTCATCTTGATTCCTGAGAGCTCAAAAGTTCTGCTCATTGTGTGAATGTTAATGTACAGTATTTGAACGCCCTTTGTTCCCAAGTGACTTGGAACAAGATGGTGCTGTGGAAAAATTTTTAGCCAGTCAACATTTTTGCCAGGTTGATCTACAGGACCTAATGGTTGCATGGATATAGTTTACCTTCTCTGGTCTCCTCACCCTGTGTGCTATGAGAAGGAGAGGGGACGGTAGTGGTCTAAATGCCTCATCCTCTGATGAGATTTAGCATCTAAAGAGGCACACTGGGTGATCGCCTTATTCTCTTTGTAGTGACAGAGAGGGATGGAGACATACAGTGCCTATGAAAAGTAGTCACCCCCTTGGATATTTGGCCCTTTTATTGATTTTATAAATCAATCTTGGTCAATATAATTTGGCTTTAACAAGAAATTACAAAATAAATGGTCAGTGAAAACAAGTTTCTACAAAGTAATATCAATTAAATAAAATATATGTAATGGGAAATAGGTGATTACATAAATATTCACCCCTTTCAAGTCAGTATTTAGTAGCTGCACCTTTGGCTGCAGTTTCAGCACTGGGTCTGTGTGGATAGGTCTCAGTCAGTCTTGCACATTGGACACTGCAATTTTACTCCATTCTTGGTGAAACTACTCAAGCTCTGCCAGGTTGCATCTTGCCTGATACCAAAAAGCACCATTTTGGTCTCATCAGACCAAAGAGCTTTCTTCCACTTGACCATGGCGTCTCCCACATGTCTTTTGATGAACACTAGTCAAGATTTAATAAAGAGTTTTTTTCAACAGTGGCTTTCTCTTTGCCACTCTCCCATGAAGCTTTGACTGGTGAAGAACCTGGGCAACAGTTGTTGTATGCAGAGTCTCTCCCATCTCAGCTGCTGAAGCTTGTAACTCCTTCAGAGTAGTCATAGGTGTCTTGGTGTCTCTCTCTCTAGTCTCCTTTTTGCACAGTCACTTAGTTCCTGAGGACGACCTGATCTAGTCAGATTTAGACATGTGCCATATTCCTTCCATTGCTTGATGATGGATTTAACTGAACTCCAGGGGATGTTCAGTGCCTTGGAAATTTTTTTTGTATCCATTCCCTGAGTCATACTTTTCAATAACCTTTTCTCTTAGTTACTTGGAGTGTTCTTTTGACTTCATGGTGTAATGGTAGCCAAATTATATTGACCATGATTGATTTATAAAATCAACAAAGGGTAAAACATTCATGGGGGTGAATACTTTTTATAGGAACTGTAAGGAGAGACAGAGATGGTGGTGTGAGGGGTTTGGAACCCTAAAGTGAATACACAGACACACACAGCTAGCAGATGCTTATACAGCTACGTTTCTGTAGAATTCAGTCTTGTGTAGTGTGTGTCTGACAATGTTGACAGGAAATCAGTTGCCTTCGTAGTAGCTTGCTGCAAAGGATGTGAAATTATACTCTGCTCTGACCTGATGCACACATGCTGAGGCTCACATGCGGAAACTTTCCTCCTGTAGTGTTCAAAATGCATGGGAAGTGATGTAACTCAACAGTGTTGGTTAACCTGCTTATACTGCTACTCTGGATCTTCTGTAGTAGCCATAGTGGTTTTCTGGTTTCTAAGAGCTGCTCAGACTATACAGGCTGTCACTTTCTGTTGAACTGTCATACTGTGAGATTATATCAATAACTCCTACAAAGATGATTTATAAATTCAGTTAGTTACCCATTACAGCTTCAAATGTGCTGATTTGTCTTATGTCCTTGTAAATTGAATATCTTTGTTTTTTGTTTGCTTATTAGACAAACCAGGTAATTTAAGATGCTGCCTTGCCGTGACAGGCACGTTCACTTTTCTTTCTTTTGTCAACACAATGGCAGTGTGATTAATTGGAAAAAAAAAATTTTTTTTCTTTACTGTGTTTGTCTATATCGCCAGGTATGCGTGTGCGGTGTAACCTGTCAATCAATAGGTTTGGCATGGGGGCAGTGTCCTCTGCCGGGGAGGACTAATCCATGTTCCCTCTCTCTATGGAGATGAACAAACATTTAGTAATTACATGGATTAATATATGTTATTTTTGTGTGTGTGTGTGTATATATGACAGTTGTAATCTTTTTTTTTTTTGGTTGTTAGTAGTTGCTAAATTAAGCCCTCAAAAGTTCACCGGTGCTTCACTCAACACGATAACCACAGCTTGACTGAGAGCGAGAAGTGAAAAATGTGTTCAGCATCAGAGCAGCTGTTCATCAGCTCTGATGATCTGGAAGGGCAGTGGATGGACAGTCAGTCTTCACCAGGCCGACCAACAGCAGAAATGTGCTGGGCAACAATTGTCACATGCGTAAGTCGTGGACATGTTTGTTAGAATGGAGTTGTATGGCTTAACGTGTTTGAGTTCACCTTAATGGCATCTGTGTGTGTGTGAGACTCGTCGTGTTGTTACTTGATTCCGGGCGAGTCACTGAGGTGCTTGATTAAATGATTGATTGGTTGGACTGATTTTTCTCCTGTGGTGGTAAAGAAATTGGCGTGGTGCCACGTGGAAATGTTACCACTGGAAACGCTGCATGTGTCAATGCACGACAATGTTTACAATATGGCAGATTGTAACTAGCACTCAGAAGTTCACGAGATGAGATTATACACAATATGGGGTTCCTGAGAATGGGACTACTTTAACACTTTTTAAAGAAATCTTCAATAATGAAATGACAGGAAAATTTATTTCATTCGACTGAAAGTCACCTTCAAAGTCATCTTGCAAAGGCGCTGCATTGACCAATCGTGTACAGGAGATGATCGGGATGTGGACACCCAGAGGAAGAATACTCTTGTTTACCTTGTTAGCATGAGCATTCACTGCTATTCATTGTTGAATTTGGGCCACAGTTGACGCACCATAACGGCATGCCATGTGTTTTTGTTAGTACTGAATGTTAGTTTTTTTTTCTTCTTCTTAATATATAAATATCTATCATTGCAGAAACTAATATAATTGGTGCCATGGTAGCACATTATTTGATGTGATATCTCATCAATTTTATTCTTTGTTCAAAACAAACACTCACTTCAATTCTGATGCTACAACACATTCCAAACAAAGTTGGGACAGTTGCATTTCAGGGCCAGTAATGAGATAAAACAATGAAATGGTGATTTGATTTGAAACGGGTGATGTCAACAGGTGACTGCAATAACGACTGGGTACAAAAGTGGCATTCAGGAAAGGCCAAGCCCTTTAGAAGCAAAGATGGGCTGAGGACCGCCAGTTTGCCAATATAGGCATGAGAAAATTATTGAAATGTTTAAAAACGATGTTCCTTAAAGAAAGATATGAAGACATATGTTGCCCTCTACGGTTGCTGAACATAATTAAAAAGTTCAAATAATCTTTAGGGATTTCAGTATGTAAAGGACCAGGGTGCAAGTCTAAGCTGGATGACCGAGCACTTTGATCCCTCAGACCACACTGCATCAAAAATCGTCACTCTTCTATAAGTGATATAACCACATGGGCTCAGGATGACTTTGGCTCACCTGTGTCAGGCACTACAATATGTAGTTACATCCATAAATGCTGCTTAAAACTGTACTGTTCCAAAAGGAAGCCGTGTGTCAACTGTGTCCAGAAGTGCAGTCAACTGCTCTGAGCTCAGAGCCATCTGGGATGGACTATCACACAGTGGAAATGTGTACTGTGGTCAGACAAATCAGTATTTCACGTCTTTTTTTCAAAGGTATGCACGCCGTGTGCTCTGGACCAAAGACGAAAAGGACCATCCAGACCGTTACCAGCAACAAATATAAAAGCCAGGGTCCGTCATGGTCTGGGGTTGTCAGTGCCCTTAGCCAAGGTAACATACATTACATAGAGATTTTGCAGCAACACATGCTGCCTTCAAGACGACGTCTTTTCCAGGGACGCCCATGCCGTCAAAGTGACGTTTGTTCATATTAACACAACTTGCTGCTGCATTTTAACTCACAGGGCTGTGTTGGTCAGGGGGAGTGTTATAGGCATGATATGGCCATGTTGTAGCAAGCCGACGTGACTGGCTTCATGCATGTTTCCAGCCTGGGAGTTTTCATTGTGTTTTGGTTAGACATGTTGCTAACTTGGCCTATTCTACCCTTAGCACCACTGTGTCTGCATTGATAGATAAAGAACACAGTTTAACATCCGGTACTAAAGAAAATGCATGGCATGTCGTTGTGGTGCGTTAACTGTTACCCAAATTGAGTAGCAGTGAATACACATTCTAACAAGGTCCCAATCTTGATTGTTCCCCATGCATGATTGGTCAAGGCAGCAGCCTCGCCGGATGTTGTTAACTCTCTTGGTACAGTGTGGTGAGGGTTAATTTGGGCATACACTGATCAGCCATAACATAATGACCACCTGCCTAACACTGTTTACATAGGAGTCAATGTGGCAGTTGTTTGGCACTCCTGTCACTCTGCAGCTCACTGTATATCTTCTGTGAATCCATTTGCTTCCACAGTTCTATTGTTAGGAAGAGCACAGGTGTGTCTACAATTCAGTGAAAAACTTATGTACAAGGAGTGAAAACTGTGGTTGTGAGGACGAGTTAGAGAGAATTCTTTAGACAAATTCAACAGCCTCACCAATCTAGTAGGTGTGATATCACCACTACAGCCCCTGACTCTTTCTCTTCATAGAGACCAATGGACAGTATTTCTCATTTTCAACCATTTTAACAAAGATTCAAATCAATTTTAATCTTTTGAAAAGTACATAGTTTAATCTAAAGTAGGGTAACCTCATAATCAGTGAGCCGTGGGCGTCCATGACCCTGTCACCAGTTCACCATTTGTCCTTCCTTAGACACTGTTGGTAGGTACTAACCACTGCAGACCAACAACACCCACCAAGACCAGCAGTGTGGGAGATGATCTGACCCAGTCATCTCACCATCACAGTTTGGCCTTTGTCAAAGTCACTCAGATCCTTACACTTGCCCATTTTTCCTGCTTCCAACACATCAACTTTGAGGACTGAATGTTCACTCGCTGACTAATATACCCCACACACTGACAGGTGATACTGTAACAGTCAGTGTTATTCACTTCACCTGCCAGTGGTCATGATGTTATGGCTGATTGTGTATATGGTCACACATAAGTTAGAAGTTCACACACAGTTCTAAGGTCTGAAGAAACTTGCGTGAAATCTTACAGGAAAGAAGCCATTCAGTTGAGTTTAAGGCAAAACCTTTTCTAGTGATGCATATTGTCTTTTACTGCATATGATAATTCCAACTCAAAGTAGAACTGAAGTGACATTCATTACAAGATGATTAAAACACGCACCTGCATTATTTTGCATTTTGTGACTTTCAGTTGACTAAAACCTTTTTTCTAGTCACATTTTGTCATTGAAGATTTGAAATACATTGTACAATGTCCTGGAAAAGCACTGCATCAACCTGGAAATTAATCTGACATTTTTATATTTTCCTTCTGAGAGAGTGCTGTCAAATCTTGGCATGAGGTGGCAGCTGAAATTAAGGCAATGTGCGAGATAAACTTAGAATAGCAAAGATAGAAGAAAGAAGTTTGTCCTGTTTTTAGTAGGCTAATGTTCTTTCTGTGCTCTGAATACCCTAAGCCATTGACTTTTGACTACACCACGTTGGTGAAGAGGGTATGACTAAAATAAACTGGGTGGATAAAATCGCAATGGAATGTAGCCAGGCAACAATAACTAAGTAGTTTGACACTTGAAATGCAACCACTAATAATTATTGGATAGTAATGAGCTTTTCTTTTAAACACATTTAAGATTCAAAGCTCCACCGTGTGCAGGATTATCATTTGCTTCAATGTTCTCTAGGTTGGTAACACTACATGGCCATTAATGGAAATGGGCATTAAGCAGGACAAAGCTAAACGTCTTTCCAGCTGGGCATGGTAGATTTTAGGGTCAAGTGTATTCTTGAGGTGAATTTGGAGATATAGGTCAAATCGCATGAGCATGAAACAGAGTGGCAAGCAGCTAATTTGGTGTATTTTTATTGGCACCAATGTGGCAAAATGTAAACAAATACAAACTAAAGATGGGGCTGAAAGAGCAAAAGTACCCAGTTGTATTTGACATTACAGCAGCTCATTTGGTGAACCTTTTTCTTTGCTTTTTTTGTCATGTTGACTCTCACATAGGCCTATATGTTGGCACATTTCCATCTGGCAGATTAGAAGAACATTTTACATGTATAAATTACAAATGGCATAAGGCAAAATGGGAGGGTTGTGTCAGGAAAGGCAGCCAGCGTAAAGCCTATGAGCAGGCCAAGATTCAGTTTGAATTAAGAGGCAAAGTTACTGGCTACAGCTTGGTCCTTGTTCAGGTTCATTTAGTGAGTTTTGCAGTGTTTGGCTCTTCTTGAGTGTTTTCCTTTTTGTTGTTAGTCAAGTCAGATTGCTTTTTTTGTTATGATCAAAGTCTTTTTTTTTTTTTTTTCATACCCTGACCTATGACATAAGAGATTGTAGAGAGATCAGGAAGTAAAGCGCACACATTCATCCTAGCATATTAATTCATACATTGACAGAGCAGTAACATTTTAGTCTAGGATGTGCCCCCCATTTAATATCACAGCTTTACATCATTGAAAACATCATAGAATTTTTTTATTTTTTCTTAAAGAGTGAGAACCCTGTCTCTGCTATGAAATGGAAATCATTGTTTACAAGGAACCTCCACATCACACACTGCAGTACCTTTTGATTTGAGGAGGTGTTTCAAAGGCTTTGGGATTGATTCCTGCATTAATCACAATGTTTGTGTTGGTTCTGAACAGTCGGTTTCTTAGCTAACTTTGTGGATAAGTACTGTAGCCAGAGATGAACTGCAATAATGTGTGTTTTTATTTTGATTCTCAGCACTATACTGATGGAGGAGAAAATGATTGGGTTGCTGCTCATTTAGTTAGAATGTGTGTTTCACAAACGTAAAACTAAGTGTGGTGACGGGTCTTAGCCCACAGCACTTGACTGTTGCTGAGTGGCTTACTGTAGAATAATCGGGCATGGCGGACACGACTGCTGTCATACTTATTTAGGATATGTATTATAAGTATGAGGGGCCAAATAATGTATTACATAGGAAAATGTGCGTCTTAAACACAGATCCCCAAGCACTGACCCTGCTCTGCAGTAGTCAGCTGAGATTGTTTCTTTTGCACTCAAGTGTGTTCAGTTTTGTAAAAAGGTTTCCTAAATTAACATTACATCACATTACAGTGTAATGGTTTTAAGTTGCAGATAAAGCTCACTGAATCAGTTGAACAGTTGCAGATAAAGCTCACTGAATCAGTGGTAAATTTACAAAATGAGTATGTGAGGAGGAGAATCACAAAGGGCAGGTGGAACAGTGTGCAGAAATGATCTGATAGGCAATTAAAAGGTAGTAGTTGACATTACTGGTGAGATTGTGGTAAATGTATTGGGTCTGAAAGTAGTGAAGAGCCACAAGAAGTGGTTGGAACTGCTGGTAGAGATGATCAGAGTCAGAGTGCAGGAGAGGAGTCAAGACAAGGGTAAAGTTACTCAGTTTCTAAGTCATTAGGAGTGTATTAATGCAAAGCTGACATTTATGTGATTTTAATATCACCTTTTATTCACGGTCCCAAATTTTCTCCAAGACACAAGTGGTTTTGACCTGCCTTGGCTGGACAGATTTACTGGCTCAGACATGATGAGGAGGACATGACATGTTGCATATGCCAGAAGCATTGTGCCCTCATGCTGCAGGCTGCTGTTGGCTTTGTGAAACAGTCCTTCAAAAACTACAGACTGGATACCTTATAAATGACATGACAACTATCCATAAAGCAACAAAAGAAAAGGAAAAGAAGCACTTTGACAAAAGCTTTAATTTGTAAGTTAGTAAACTAATAAAACGGTCTTAAAAAAAAAAAGTGTTACTTTGTTGTCTATAAAAAGACCGCTGCAGTGTGCCATAGCTGCACAAGTGGTCAGTTCAGCACCCGGACTCTTGTTATGGAGCCATGCTGTTGTAATAAATGAAGAATGTGGTTTGGCATTATCTTGTTGTTGAAAAAACAAAAGACAAAAGAACAAGATGATGTCTGGATGGTAGTGCATCATCCTCTTTTGGCTGTTCCTGTTGGGGGTCGCCACAGTGAATCATCAGTTGCCCCATCCAACTGATGATTCGCATGTTAAACTTGGCACGTTTTACGCCAGAGGCTTTTCCGGATAATGTCTAATTCTAGAGTGGCTAATCAACCTAAGCTGCACGTCTTTGCACTGTGGGAGGAAACTGGAGCACCCAGAGAAAACCTATGCAGGCACAGGGAGAACATGCAAACTCCGCACAGAAAGGCTGAAACCCGCAAGCTTCTTGCTGTGAGGCGACAGTGCTAACCACCTCACCACTGTGTCGTCCCTTTCCAAAATATATGGTTCAATATTAATGATGCCTTTACAGGTGTGCAAGTTACTCGTGCTGTGTGCACTAACATGTGCCCCATGCCATCACAGATGCTGGCTTTTGAACTGTGCGCTTGGGGCTTGGTGGTCGAACTGGCATGAAATTTGCGCAAATCCCAAAAGTAAAAAATAAAAGCTAAAGTGTTCGGCTTGATATTTTGTTTTTAAAAAAGGGTTAGCCAGTACCTCTCAGTGGGGCCTGCAGGATTATTACAAGAGTCTTTACTCGTTTTTATGAGATGTTTTCATGTTATTTGGCCATACTCTATTTTCTCATAACATACTATTGGCTCTTTTGTCATTACAACAACATACTGTATCTTGAAGTGAGTGCAGTGCGCATATTCAGTTCAGCAGCCTCTCTGTCATCAACACCCTCCCGTAACTTTTTTTGAAATTGAACTACTAAAATGAGTTGCTTGTAAAAAGTGTTTGCTTGAGCCAGCTGAATGGAATGGTACATGTATGCATGAGCACATGATCAACATGGTTTCACCTCTGCCTCATTTTGAGCTAGAAAACATCCTGGTGAGGTTGTGCTGGGTGACCATGGTTATGGGAAGTACAGGGTGTATCGTTTGTTAGGTTCTGACAGTGGAAACCAGCTATGCCCTGTGCAGGCCAGTGCAAAAATATGGTTGCATACAAATGCTTATCGACTTCTGTTATTATAATGGCAAAATAAAAAGCTGGTGTAATGATCATTTTTATAATGTTGAATTTCCCAGCCTTACTGTTTGACCATCTCAATTTAAAACAACTGGCAGGAACTGGTAATATTAGATTGGATATCACACCAGTGGGAAAACCCACTACAAATAAACATGCACATGTTAAAAGTAAAGAACAGTAAAAGGTGGTTTGGATGCTTTCCAAATCTGTCTCCCCTCCTCTTGTCTTTTGTTTTTTCTGCAACAGTGTTTACTCAATGTATTAATTTAAATAGAAGCACAATTAATGGTTGGAAAATGCTTTTCTGTAGTGTCCGTCTTATAGATAGTAATGACTTGTACACTGACTGTGCTTTCACTCTGCAAAGTCAAATGATGGATGCAGTTCCATCATTTGAGGCTGATAGTCTTGTTCTTTTCTTCTACACAGCCTGTTGGTGTTTTTTGGGGTCATTATCCTGCTGTAGGGTGAAACTGAAAAGGTCTGGCTTCTTTTGGTAATGACCTTTTTCCAAATAATACATCAGAAGGTGTAGTAACACAGCCTTTGACAACATTGCCTTCATTCAGATGGAATTTGTTTGTAACCAGTAAACAAAAGTTGGGCCACCTGTAGGACATGTGATAAACCTATTACTTGATCACAAGAAAAGGTCTTTTTTTTTTTTTTTTTTTTTTTACATTGATATGCTTTAACGTTTTATTTTTAACCTCTGGCAGTTCTTAAGTTTGTACCATTTAATTACTACTGAACTGCTTTCAAGTCAATAAAAACTGGAAAAATGGTGTTTAACTTTTGATGCATAGTGTAGATGAACCAGATAAATGCCGAGGCTACATTACAAAAATATCATTTTGACAAGCCCAAAGCATTTATATCTGTAGAATCCCCTCCACAGTGGCAAGTGGTCCAGAGGCAGCAAAGCAACCCCACATCAAGATGCTCCCTCTACAATACTTCACTGTTGGGATAATGTTTCCATGTTGGTACACAGATATCTTTACGCCATACATAGTGATGTGTGTTCTTCCCAAACAATTTTACCTTGGTTTCATCTGTCCACAGGACATTTTCCCAGTAGTGTTGTAGAGTCTCAGGGTGATCTTTGGCACATTTGAGGTGTCCTGCAATGTTGTTTTTATTTATTTATTTTTTTTGACAGCAATGGCTTCCTCTGTGGTGGCCTGGCATGGATACCATGTCTGTCCCGTCCAATATTTTCCCTATGGTTGATTCATGAACAGAGATGTTAACCAACTCCAATGAATCCTTCAAGTCTTTAGCTGGTTCTGTAGGGTTCATCTTGACCTCACTGCGCATTCTGCATTGTGCCTTTGGAGTGATTTAGTTTGGGTGCTCACTTCTATTGAGAGTAGCCACAGTAACCAAGTCATCTTGATTAGACAGTATGACTAACTGCAGACTGATGAATATCTAAAGTCTTTGAGATGACTATGTACCACACACAGGAATTTCCCCATTGTGGGATTAATAAAGTCTTACCTACCTGCCTAACCCTTTTCCAGCTACTTGCAAATCAACAACTTCTGATCATAGATCTTCTGAGATTTATTTTTTGGCAAGGAATGGCTCACATCAGCTAATGCTGCTTGTGAATAGCGCACTGATAATCATAATGTATATATAATCGATGTGTTCAATAAAGACATTAAACATCATGATTGTTTGTGCTTTAATAGCTTAGAAATATTTTATTTGCCTTTGGTGAAGATCAGATCATATTTCATGACAAATTTATGCAGATAACCAGGAAATTGCATATAGTGTTTTTACTTTTTATGCTACTCTATAAACAAAGTGCCTTTTGTTCAAAACAACTGTTTATAGCTGCTTCTAGTCTGGTAAGAAGGTACAAATGGCACTGCCATTCTCTGCCCTTGATCTTTTGGTTGTGGAAGGAGTAGAGAGGCCGCGGAAGCAAAAATAAGGAGAAACTGGACTAAATGGGTGAAATCATAGGTACAACAGCGACAGGCTGAAGGGGCTTTCCTGAGCTGTGCTCTTCTTGTGTATTGATTCGCTAAGCTTAGTAGCCAACCAGAGTGGTATTCGAATTGGCTGAAAAGCCGCCGACGGGGGCCGACTAGTGCCAACAGTGCAGGACACACCGGGAGCACGTTCCCCAACAGATGCTCACGGTCAGCTTTGTTTGTGTCTGCCCTACACTGAGCTGAATAGCTAAAAGCACCTGTACCTTCAGCATTCGCCGCCGTTACTGTAATGTAACATTAACCTTATTTGAGCATAAGAAATAAGTAATTTCTGGGACAATTTAGTTGTTCAAAATATGTATCTGAAAGGGAAAATGACTAATTTATGCAAGAAAATAACCAAATGCTACCCCCGATTTGTCTGTTCTGTAATGAGCCAACAAGTGAGGAAGATTAGTGGGATGGAGGAGTGGAGTGTGGAGGAGAAAAGAAATGAGGTGGTGGGGGAGGGGGAATCTGTAGTATTAGAACTTGGGTTGGGCTTTTTTTTTCTTTCTATTTTTTTTTTTTTTTTAAGTGCATGGAAACAAGCATACCTCCCCTACCACATCACTGTCCCAGTCTCTGATGTGGCCTACACACACTCATTCATGCATCTTTACATCCACCTATAGGACCTTCATTTATGCATTGGCAGCCCAGTCTCTCAGATATTTATTATAGTCAGACACATCAGGGGTCCTTGGTTGTAGTTATGTAAAAAAATATATACATTTCTGATGTTTACACATAAATATTGCTAGGCATATTGTATGCATATTTGTGTTTTTATACTCACAGAACAAACACACAAGCTAAAAAGGTAGCAGGTGGCTAACTCCCTTGTTTTCACATCTGCCAGGACTGACTGGCTGGCTGGCTAGGCAGCTGAATGGCTTGCTGACCTAATAGCTAACTACAGACTGACCAGTGTATTTCTGTCTGGCTGGCTGGCTGGCAGCTGCTGTTGTTCAAACAGAATTGCATCTGCTAGGCCCTTTGTTCTAATACACACTCACACACGTTTGAACAGCTGTCTTTATGAGGACATTGACATAATGCATCCCCTAGCCCCTAACCCTACCTTACCTTAACCAGCATCAATAAATACTTAACATTAACTTTAACCTAATTTTACCTTAACCCTCAAACCTGGAAAGTGTGTGAGAGAGTGAGGACTGGCCAAAATGTCCTCAATTCTATGGTATAAAACTCAAACCAGTCCTCACAATGTATGGTCCTACAAGTACACACACAAAGACTCAAGTGTGTTTTTGCAAAGAAAGAAGTCCTTTTGTTTGGTAGTAAAATGGAGGCAGGGGAGGGTTTGGGGGGAGTGCCATTGTAGAGTATACATTCTGGGGTGTGTGAATGTCAAACTTTTTTTGTAAGTGTTTACAGTTGATTAATGTATTAAACATGCAAGTAAATCTACTGAACCTTTGTCTTGCGTCTAATAAGATTGCTGAAATGATCATTTCCTATCATGGCTTGCACTGGTTGTTTACATGGTTACAACTTTATTAATACTAAGCATAACCACCGACTGATGGGGCTTGGTTTTTCTACATGAAGTGTGGGTCTAAACAGTGACAAAATTATACAGTTGCTTGTTTGCTGTTTAAGGTCCTTTGAATGATTTTTCTTCAGTTAACAGGTTAAAAACCATCTATGTAACTTTATTAGCAACTATAGACATGTAACCTTTTGCTAAATTAAGAGATCAAGTAAGATTTTTCATAATCGCTAGGGTTAAAGTAAAAAAAAATTTTTTTAAGAATTTTTTTTTTCTAAAAATCTTTTCCTCTCTTGTCTCTCCAGGAACCATATTGAGGACCATGGAGTAAAAAGCTTCTAAATAGCAGCCAGCTGATTAGCTCTTCACTGCATAATACACCTCCCTCCATCGGTGGCTCCCCACCCAGCCATGGCAGACCCAGGAATGTTGAGTCTATTTGGGGACGATGCAGGGCTATTCTCAGATGGATTAGACAGTTTAGGAGACTGCTTTCCTCAGCAGGCTGCCCCTGCCCAGTCGAACGCTCTAGCCCAGCCAACTAATCCCTCTCTGAACCATGAGCACCAGGGAAACAGGGGTTACCACCAGGGGATGATCCATGGTGCTGGGCCCGGTCCAGGGCAGCCTAAAATGGGGCAAATGTACGACCACAGCCCCTACACAGGCTACGATCAGTCTGGTGCCCCTGGTGGACGAATGATGGCTCAGAATGGCCCCAGCCAGGGGCCACCAAATGTGAATGCAGGCATGAATGGTATGGCTTCCCACTACCATAATAACCCAACTAACTCTAGCAACCCCCACCATGGATACCCAGGTGATGCTGGGGGAGGAGGAGGTGCAGGTGGAGTTTGGGGCCAGCAACAGGGTAGATCAGCTTATCAGCAGACTCCAACACAAGTAGGGAGTGGCCCCAACCAGATGGCAGGCTACCAGATGTCTCAAGGCAACTATGGTGGGATGCAAGGCCCATCTACACCCAACACAGCTCGTATGAACCAACACTACCCTCCACAAAGCATGGCACCCCCTCCTGCTCAGGACCCATCTCATTACCTGGCATGTGTTGGAATGGGTGGGGCCCAGATGAGACACCCCCAGCCTCAGCCACAACCCCAGGGCTATCCGAACATGGGTCACACACCCCGGTACCCGCTCTCTCCCTCTCGACAGCCACCACACACCCACCAGCACCAACAGGGCATTGGGGGGTTTGGGGGCGGTCCGTACTCTAGCTACCAGGCTCAGTATGGAGCCATTGGACCAGGGATGGGCCAGGGTGCTAATGCTAATATCAGTACAAACACCAGCCAGGCCATAGGACCAGGGCAGCTTGGCCAGAGGTTTAACCAGGGATCAGGCCCAGCAACTGGGCAGCAGGGCCAGCGATACCCTCCTGGACCAGTACACCAGCCCCATTCTGCCCCAATGCAGCAGCAGACAGGGCAGCAGGGCCAGACTATGCACCCCCTAAACCACCCCCAGAATCTGCCCCAGTCCCAAAACCAACCACAGTCCCACCTTGGCCCTTCAGCTCAGGGATCTTACTCCACCCCCTCGTCTATGTCCCCCATGCGGGTTTTGGGAGCCCCCACCCCCCCTCCCCAGCAAGGCAGACCCCCTAGCGCAGGACTAGCAGGGCCACCAGAGGTTGCAGGCTACACAGCCCTGCAGTCTCCACCCAGTGCTATTGCCCATCCACAGAGAACTCCCCAAACCACATTATCTGCCCCACATCCCCAACACCAGCAGCCCCACAACATGCCCCCCAATGCAGGGCAGATGTATCCTGCCATTGGACCACAGCGTGGTCCACAAATGGGTCCAAATAGGTCTCAGCTTCAGCAACAGCAAGGTAAGCTCTGGGTATTACAGAGTAACAGAGAAATTAAATTAAGAATAATGTGAAATGAAATGGTGCTAAATGATATCAAGACTTTTCTTGACATTTGCTGTTCTTGTATCATGAAAATACAAAACAGAACTGTTGTCTGTACACTTTCCACTACATTCCTATAGTAGTGGAAATACCAGTGTAGGAGTGTGTTTTATTTGGGAACATTACACACATTTCAAGAATAAAAAAAATTATTCAGATTGTATTAATGTTAAGAAAGGTGTATGTCCCTTGACATAAACTACTTCTCATCAGATGTGTAGGCCAAGGAGTAATAGTCGAGTAAAACGATTATAGCCTGCACACTGATTTGTTGTGCCACAATTATTTTTATTTAGACTAAGCTGCCATGCCAATATTCATATTGTATTCTCAAGTAATTTTGTAGATATATATATATATATATAGAAGTCATTAGTTTACATACACCTTAGCCAAATACACTTAAAGAGCCCATGATATGCTCATTTCACTCCATTTAATGTTTAATCTTGGGTACCTCTAGATTAGCTTTGCACCCCTCATAACTACAAATAGTCTATTTCAGAACGATAAAACCAGAGAGCTTCTTCCTAAAAATGAGAGGATAGTTTGTGAATGTGCACAGCTCCTGCTGCAGGTGTTGTCAAAAGTGAACAGCACAATTGCATTCAGCTTCAGTCTTGCTCAGATACCTACGCCCCTGTTTTAACTGGCATAATGCAGACATAATTTCTCCAACCTTAACAATTCTCTCTAACGTTCCAGAAACAAGGCATTAACAGACACACAATGTGTTTTTTTAACTTACTGTTATGTCCCACCGACTAGTGGAAACATCCTCCCTTTCATGCAGCTCCAAATAATAAATCCAACCTGTGGTCACTGCGTCTTCCCCCACATGACCACATGCAGTCCCAAAGTAGTGAAATTAATTCCAACAGGTAATGTAGCACCAACAGTAGCATCATGGATCATTTATCCACTTGTTAACCAGCAGCACATCATGTGGCAGATACACTGCCCTCAAGCAGTCAAAAACAAACTGGTACTGTGCTCTGGGGGAATTCCAATGTTGATGAGCTGATCATTCACCGCAGGGGGCTTCACTGGCCAGCTTATCATAGGATAGACCCGGTCGGATAAAACAGCAAGTCCCTGTACAGGAACATTTCTGGACATACAGTAACCTTTGGCACTGTATTAAGCTTCACATCCTCTGGTCACAGTGCAGCAGCGGGAGGGAAAATATATCCACAAAACTGTGCAGTTGGAAAAATTCTGTTTTTAAAATGGCATCGGTGGATAATGAAAGCGCAGTGGCCTGGATTTTATGCCCGTTCAAGGAAATCCTTAAACTATCACTGTAGTACTTAATTTTGTTAGGAAAAAAAGTCACGAGCGAGAGTTTGCGAGACATGTATAAACAGAGTTGCTTCTGCATAGAATTACTAGAACATACCGTATGTTACATTTCATCTTTTGAGCTTTAGGTCACGCCTAAGATAATTCAGCATTGTAACATTGTAGAGTCAAGTGATAAAACAAGGAAAAGCATGTTTTGGGATGCTTTCCACAACCTTCTTACAATCATTTGCTGGAATTTTCTATTGAAAAATTGCCCACAAATTTTCTATTGGATTGAAGTCAGGGCTTTGTGATAGCTGCTCCAATACCTTGACTTTGTTTTTTGGCTTGCAAGCCTCCCCATTTTTCCTCCAGACATAACAATGGGCATAAATGCTAAACCATTCAATTGTTGTTTCATCAGACCAGAGGACATTTCTCCAGAAAGTCAGATCTTTGTCCCCATGTGCAACAGAAATCAGGCTGCCCTTTTCATTGCAGTCTTGAAGCAGTGGCTGCTTCCTTCCCGAGCAGCCTTTCAGGTTCTTTATATATAGGATTTATTTTACTGTGGATATAGTAGATACTTTGGTACCTGTGTCTTCATAAGGCCCTCTAGAAAGGCTGTTGTTCTGGGATTGATGTGTACTGTTCGGACGATGCGTCTCCTTCCTGAGCAGTATAATGGCTGTGTTGTCCCATGGCGTTTATACTTGCATGGTATTGTTTGTAGAGATGAACATGGAACCTTCAGGTGTTTGGAAATTACTCCCAGGGATGAACCAGACTCCTGGAGGTCCACAATTTTGTTTTTCTTGGCTGATTTCTTTTCATTTTCCCATGATGTCAAATAAAGAGTTACTGAGTTTGCAGGCAGGCCTTAAAATACATCCACAGTTGCACCTCCTTTTGACTCAGATTATGTCAGTTAGCCAATCAGAAGCTTCTAAAGCCATGACATCATTGTCTAGGTTTTTCCCAGGCAGTCAACTGAGTGGATGTGAAGTCCTGACCCACTGGAATTGTGATGTAGTGAATTATAAGTGAAATAATCTCTAAACAACTTTTGGAAAAATTACTCGTGTCATGCATAAAGTACATGCAACCGACTTGCCAAAACAGGAGTTTACCATGACATCGGCCAAAGTGGTTACAAAAAAATCTGCTTTATTGACTTTAGCCCAAGTGTATGTAAACTTTTGACTTCAGCTGTACATGTTATTAATTGGGGTAGCAAATACTACTTAGGGGGACAGAAAAGGAAGAATAGAAAAAGAAAATGAACTTGTTGGCTGATGCTAAGTGCACAGAAGTAGCTAGTGGAATAAACAAACCATGGACTATAAAGAACTGCTATGTGTGATTATGAGGACAGTAGCAGAGGTAGGAGCGTCAGGAGAGCAAGGAGAAGTGGTACTATGCTGCTGACAACTTATTGTAAATGTGATTACTGTAGTGCTGCTTGCATTTTAAAAAATGAAAGGGCTGCGAATTTCTCTCAGCCTATTTTTTAACATATTATCTATAAAACACTGATTATTTTTTGCTATAATATCTGATTGGCAGCCCGGCAGTGAAAGTGTTAAATACTGCTTTTATCATGTGAACACACTGACAAAGAAAGCGAAGGGATGGAGGAAGAACCTTCACAGATGCTACATTTTATAGAATGTTATTGTGTGACTACAGAAAATTTGAGCTTTTTATCAGTGCATATGATCAAGTCAGACTACTCTTCTATGGTTATTTACTGTTACCTCACATGAAATAAAATGAATGAAAGCATGTTGCATAACACACCATACATGTAGTTGCATATTCGATGGTTGGTCTGTTCATTCTGAGTTTAATGAATATAATATTTGATGATGTTGTCATAGTTCCAGAGATGTTTATTTCATACAAGTTCGTAATAAGGTGGTGACAAATCTAGCATTACACTCAGCAGTTTCATTATTGCTGTTTTTAATATATTACATGTACATTTTAAATTCATGGTCTGTTGTTCTTCATCAGAAGGTGAGAAATGTTGATATTGTGTCAATCCATGATGTGTTTGTAAGTTTGGTTCCCGTGAAGAAGAAAAAATTCTCTTATGGATCTCGAGCTGAAAAAGTTTGGGAACCCAGGTTCTAGTTACTGGCTCATAGCTGGAATATAGTTAAACAAGGGATCAACCAGAAGCCGTAGGTTAGTTGTACCTCTTAATATTAGTTA